CCAGCATGGCCAGCAAAGATTACTAAGTACAACAATAAAAAGTACAGCGTGTACTTTTACGGAACGGGAGAGACTGCAAACATCAAAGTGGAGGATCTTTTCCTATATGCGGAAAGTAAAGAAAAGTTTGCTACCGACAAAAATCTTAAGCGTTCAAACTTTCGTGAGGCTATTGAGCAGATAGAGGCGGCATTAAACGGAGAAGATTCGGCTCCTATCGATTTACCGGGTGCTGCAGCGTTGGGAGACGAAACCTTAGATGATGGCACTGAGGCATTCGCGGATATCACGGCTGAAGATTGCCAAATGGATGAAAGTGCCATAGTTGTCGGAATAGAAGAAGGGAAAGATGTAGCAAATCAAATTGATGAACAATTGAGGGCACATAAAATAAAAGAAGATAAACAAGTGCCACTAGTAACGTCTACGACGGATAACCCGGAATTAGTCAGCCGCAGTGGTCGCAAAATTAAAACAAAGCGATACATTGATGAAGTACAGGATGGACCCTCTTTATCTCATTCACCACCTTCGAAGAAAAAAGTACCAGCAGAAGGTAAGTGCGTGTATATAATGGAATTTAACGTGCGCGTTCGTTGGTGTGGCATGAAGGAACACAATGGAAATAGAACAACGTAGTTTTCTTAACACTTACACTGGCGATTAAAAGTGAGTCCATTGTGTTTCTTCTCAAAAATTTTAAGTACGCGGATAGATCGTGTTGAATGATCTCTTTATTGCGCATGGCTTCTGGCACTATTTAGNATAGAACAACGTAGTTTTCTTAACACTTACACTGGCGATTAAAAGTGAGTGCATTGTGTTTCTTCTCAAAAATTTTAAGTACGCGGATAGATCGTGTTGAATGATCTCTTTATTGCGTATGGCTTCTGGCACTATTTAGGGATGGGCTTTACTACTCAGCCGCACCTTGTGTTTCAAGAAAACCAGGTGGAATTAACAAATGAAACTTGGTCAGGATGTTAAGGGAGGTATCCTCTAAACCATGTATAACTAAAAAATATAAATATAATTGTTTATAAGTTGTTAAAATTTCTTAAGACGTTCCACTTGATTCCTTATCAAAGAGTGCATTTGTCACATACTTTCNAAGACGTTCCACTTGATTTCCTTATCAAAGAGTGCATTTGTCACATACTTGTATATATGTATATAAATGCAAATAACACTACCTAATAGGTTACACACTTTTATTTTATTTTATCTTGTATATAATTCACTTTAATCCAACTTTTATTAACTTGTAATTACATTACATTGCACCCATATTTACAATCATAGTTGCGATCCCGTACGAGTCCGGACTAGTCAGAAATAGTCAGAATCAGNATCAGTCAGATTTTACTGGAAATCGATCCCGTACTCGGTTCTCTGACTACTGAGAGGACAAAAAAGAGAGTAAATACGGTTCTCTCTCTGTCAGAAGGTCCCAGAATTTTTTCCTGGTAAATTCTGTAATTAAAGCTGTAGTGTGTTTGGC